TTAAAAGTTTCTTCGTACAACGGTAAACAGAATAAAAAAAAATTTTGTTTACATTTATATTTTAAGTAAAATGAACGCTAACTTTATGATTGAAATTTTTTATTTTTTTAGGACTTACGCTCTCTACAAAAGTGAACAGCACTTTTTTCATTGATCTTGCAATTGTAGCTGTCACAGATTAGAAAGAATGGTTATCGAATAAAACTAACAAATTTCTTCTATTTTTCTAACTTTATAAATTTCGGTAGTAAATCTCACACTTCGTTGTTTGCTTTATTTATGCAGTATTGAAACAAACAAAGAAAAGCTTGACAAATTAATCCAAGATAAGCCATCTATTGCAGTGACGCCACCCAAAATTTCACCCCAGATGAAAATAAATACATATATATATATATACACATACATACATATATATATATATATACATACATACATACATATATATACATATATATATACATACATATATATATATATATACATATATGTATGTATGTATGTATATAAATATATGTATATATTATTAATGTTTTTTGACTAATACTAAAAAAAATTACGCTCTTTCTTATTACTATATTTCTCATTTCGTATGTAGAAAAAATTTTATTGGGTCAAAGCGCAATAGAAAATTACTTCAATGAACCAAAAGTTTTGGTATATTGCATGTAACAATTGTAAGAAAACGTCAAGTGCAGACTTGGGACAAATTCATAAGTGTCGTTTTTGCAAATTTGAACATGCAAAAGCAATACCAAGGTAACATGTACTCTAAACCTATATTTAACTATTTATTAAAAATAACACTTCATTTAACAAAACTTATTATGTAATTTAATTAACTTCTCCATATAGGGTAACTGCTTTCGTACATATTGAAGACAACTCTGGAGGCTTGGATGCAACAATAATAGGAGAAACCGCAGAAACTTTATTGGAAGCAAATGCCGTCCAAATTATGAACCATTTTGAAAAGGTTAACTCCAAATACTACTAAATTTTTAATAATTATTTGCATTTACTTCATCATATTAAATGAGTATAATTTTAATATTTCAGGACGTGGATACACAACTAAAAGATCTCATAAGAACTAACAGCGAAGAAGAACAGCTTTTTTACCTAAAATTAACACCAAGAAGCCAAAATCCACCTGAATACCGATATGAAATTATCTTCATATTCAACTCTTCGACAACAACTGACATTGATTCTTCAAGTACAATCATAGAATTGGATTCTTCTCTTGTAACAACTGATGATAGTTCAAAGAAAACATCTACGAAAAGTAAAGAGAAGATGTGCATCACAGATAATCAAGATTCTACAAACGCAGACGAAGTGCTTGCACCAAATGCAAAGAGGGCTCTCTTTCAAACTCGAGACCAAAAAATCGAAACTCGTTCCAAGAAGAAAATGAAGACTGATAAACACGTTGAAGATGTTGATGTCCTTAGCTCTGGATAAAACCTCAACTCACGTTCGTTTTGTTTTGGGATAATAGACAATCTAACAGTAGACACTTCTGTGATTCTACAAGCAACCTATAATCTATAAATCTCCAGTAGAATAATGAGTCTTAGATTCAGTTATATGATTTTAGTTTCTAAATAGAACGGGTTACTTTAGATATTTTGGTATGTTTTTGTTGTTAAAAATGTAAATACTGTGAAATCACAGAATTGTACTCGACCCATGGCTGACACTAATATATAAAACTTCTTTTGCTATCGATAAAGAATAGTTGTGTAAAATACATATATTTTACTTTATCTATTAGTTAAATATTATCTCCTCCTCAATTTCGCTTAATCGAATACGTAATCAAAACACAAGTTCAATATACTTGCATTTTCCATTTTCTAATTTTCTAAATTAATTTCTTTTTTTCTTTGTTCCAAAAAAGTTTACCTAGCTTTTAAATAATCTTTTAAACAAACTATTTCGTTTATATAGTTAATTGGTAATTAATTATATCGTTTATATAACTGTACTCTTTGTGCACACTCTCTCTTTTACTTAAAAAAAACTAAATAATTTAACAAAATAAGAAAAAATATAAATTTATTCATTTTCTTTTAATTGCATGCTCGTAAAAAACTAAATTCGCCTCTGTTTTCTTTTAAAATATAAATATTTAATTCATCAAGAAAACACTATGTTACGATAAAGTATTTTCTTTTTTTATAAACTTAATAATTATAACATATGATAAAGGAAGAATTAATTTCATTGATCTAAATGATTTCACATAGAAAGAATTATGTAACATGATAATTCCCAACAA